CAGATGCATTTGAGATATCAAAAAAGTACTCCAGAGTGTTGTTCAGCATGGGGGTGAGTAGAAAATGAAGGCTAATCATGTTTTGGGTGTGCTATTCCTTTAAGGTGACGGTTACCTGTGCTCTGGGGTCTACAGTAAGTGGTGAAAACATGGGGATTTTAACAAGTTTACTAAGATATGTCTGCAGTTGGTCCATATCAACTTGTTTTATAGAACAAACTTAGGTTTTATCAAAATGGATGTTCACTTTCTTAGAATAGAATAGAAAAGAATAGAAAATCCCTTTATTTTCCCACAATGCGGGATTCTGGTGTTTACAGCAGCAAAAAGATTATAGATTATAATCTTTGGTCAGACTGTACATTTATTCATATCATATATTTCTGTTTCATGTTTGTTCTTATCAAAAAAAGAAGAAAAGTGAAACAAAGCAGAGCGAGTTTATTAAGGCCAGCCTTTAGTTACATCTGTTCCCGGGAAAAATAACCTTACGTCACAAACCCCGCCCAAGCTGAAAGAGATGTCGGTTTGTTTAGTTTTAAGGCAGAACGTTTTGCCATTTATTAGAAGCGCTGTCCTCTATTGTTCCATTTGTAGAAATAAGTAAGATTCTTCAAAATTAATAAAAATTCCTACTAGCCAGAAATGTACATTTAGATATCATAAATTACATTTTTGCTTGCAAAAATCTGATAGTAGACTTCATTCTCATGGCAGCCTGAAATGTAATTTTTGATAGCAAAAATGTAATTTAGGATATCTATATGTACATTTCTGACTAGTAGGAATGTAGTTTTGAGTAGGAAGAATCTTATTTTGGAGATTAACAGATGGAACAATTGCGCTTCTAATAAATGCCAAATCGGCCTGCCATACTGGTTTCAGTTCAAGGCTACGCCTCGTAGAAAACCACCAACCAATGGGAAGCCCGGACGCCAGGGCTCTGGTTCAATATTCATGTGCTTTCGCGGGCTTTGCTAGTCACGTGGTTGTTTCGCGCGAAAAGAGACTCCAGTCAGGAAGGAGAAGAAGCAGCAGACCCACAGCAGCGCAGCAATGGCGGTGAGTAAAAAACAGTGAAATATGCTTTTATTGGGTTTTATTGCGTAACCTCTGGGTTTAGTTTGTGCTAAAACAGATAAATAAACAGAGTTTAGTAACTGTAGCTTCAGTTTATCCGCAGTTATCTGTGTTTTAGTAGCTTTGCTGATAATAATGGAGAGATTTCAATTGGTTAAAAATGTCCGTTTAGTTCAGGAGTTCTTGTTAAAATCCTTTTTTTTTTTTATGAGGGTTCTGGTGTTTTGATTTAATGTACGATTTAATCTGTAATCATTAGTCAGGAGGGATGTTTTAAAGGGTGAGCTGCCATGTGGCTGCTGATGGCATCCCATATAACAGACTAAAAACAGCCACTCTGTTTCCCACATGGGTGTTTTTATTGGTATATATGGGCTAATCTGATGC